TGGTTAATTTCGAAAATAATGTAAGCGCAATTACCCCGTGAATAAATCGTCACTTTACATTTACAAGCACTTTTGGCACGGTGCATATACAGACGACTCGGCGTAACAAGGTAGGGGGTACGTTCAACCATAAGACGCTTTCGGGAGTTGGGAACAATTACAGATCGGAGTGGTAATCCTAAAAGGCCTACGATCATATTTAGTGGGAGTTTCAATGGAGCAGGTCGAAGGTCTGCGTAGCAGCGAAATTCATTCTGAGCCCAAAATGACTAAATGAATGGATATTACATGAAGTTTTCTGCGCGAAATCGTGAGGCGTCGTCTTCACGACAAGCCCCTCATACGATCAGAAAGTGATTTCCCCAGCGAGCAGACTAAAAAGAAGAAAAATGTTGGCTCACCAAAGCTGCCCGGCCGCATACAAAAAATTGTCGTACGAGATTCCTGTTCACCGGCGAAAAGATATCTCCGGTGAAAAAGCTGTCCAATAAGCAGGGCTACAAGTTTTGTATAAAGCTGAAAGAAATGGAAGTGACGCAGCGCTAGGCTTGCTCACTTTCTGCAATATCCTTTGCTAGCGTCACAGCCCAGGCAAAAGCGCTGATTATTTTTGTAAAATAAGGAGTGAAATTTGATTTGGGGACTTGTTCGATCTCTTCGTGCGCAATAGGACACTTTGTTGATTCAAACCGGACATATTGACAAGATGATGCTCCTGACTGCAGAGATCAGAAATTGTCTAGAAATCCCGTAAAAGGGGTTCCCTGGCTTCATAACCTTCGATCAGTGACCACTCTTGAGCCCTGACCTAAATCCCATGGATGTCTCAGTATGGTCAGCCTTTGAGATTAGAGCATCCGTTAGCCCAAACATGAAGTGTGATAATTTCGAAAACACCTTGCAAAAAGCTGGGATCAATTCGATGACCATAGCTGCGTACCACCGCTAATGTTGTCCATCATCGTGTCTGGGGTTGGGTGATAGCAGAAAGCAACAGATCCCAGTCTCAATGTACTATTTTGATAAGAGATCAGTGGTAGACACTTTAATGAAATTGGTTTGCTTTTTTAGCTTTCTATTCGTTTTCGGGAATGTGATGTCTGCGTAATCATAATTTTGGCCCACCCTGTATAGAGAGAAAAAACCCTGAAAATAAATGAATCTGAGGCAGCTCTTTGTCCGGTGGAGCGATCCCTACAACCGTCATGTTGTTAGGCAAGGATATCACGTTGTCTCTATTATAACGTCAGCATTGCAGTGTTGTTACAATGCACAGAAAAGTAAATTTGAATGTAGCTTCTTCGATATATCAAATTAACTTATCGTTTCTGCCATTTAACTGGACCACTCCATAGCCATGCGTTAAGAGTGCAGTTCACGATAGAGGTGGTTTCTGAGATTTCTCCTTGAGGGAGGCTATCGGGTCAAGATCGGTTCAAAAAGCCGTTCTGATAGGGCGCAACGACGTGGCACACAGACAAACATACATACCTACATACACACATACATACATATATACAATAGACACACCAAACTTGTGGATTGTATATAGCATAGTAAGGTGTACCTAACAACATTATAACTTGTTTCTCTTCAGCCACAGGAAAGTCGAATCTCTAGGTACTAACTAGAATTGTGACATCGTTCGGACCGAATATCCGCAAAACCGCCCCGAAGAGTACGAATTTGGGAGTATCAGCATAGTAATATCTTATAACATTCTAGCATATCAAACATTCCGTCGGCTAAACTTCATGTTAAATAAAGAATCGTGGACATCGGATGCACGCGTCGTAGCCTAAATGGTACTTCGTAAATATTTTTAAGGCACAGTTTACGATAATTTTGGGTTACCCAGATTATGACGAAAAATGAAAAAGAGGGTTGAAAATAGTGCGATGAAGGCGATGAAAGCGCGCGAATAGGTGTTTCCGAAGTTATAAAAGGCTTCGAAAAAATCGTGAATAAGGGGGCCAGACGAGAATGGGGCCAGAAAAATGAAGTAGAAGAGGTGTTTGGACGAGCTATACAACGTGTGTCATTGCGTACTTGTGGGTCTTTGCGTATAGCTGACTACAGTAAGCAAAAATGTCCTTCGAAATTATCAGTAGTAAGCATAAGTTAACAAAAACGCTAATAAAAGCAAAAATAGCCCACCTTTTCAACTTTTCGTGGTAGAAAACCAGAACAAGGACCGCAGCTACAAAACGAATAACAGAGATTAAAAGAATATGTAGAAGGAAAACACCGCCTCATCACTTGCCATCACTGATTGTACGCTGAACGTGTGGGTCCTGGCAGGCATGTTGTAATCTATATCGCCTCGACACTCGTTTTAAAGATCATCGGTCATCCGACCGATCCGGTAGTAGAGCATCTATAATATTATGTCATAGCTCTCGAGTTTCTGGGCCCTGTAGCGTCCTCTCTGTTACTCCTGGGGGCCACTGGGTAATCCTGAGGGAGAATCTGAGGAACTCTTTTCATCGTGGACTGTACCTTCAAAGGGTTTGCGGTTTGCATGTGGAAATCACAACATTTCTCGAAAGTGATTGCATAGTATTTGTATTTGTTTGACTCCCGAGTTGAAGGGTACGACAATGACTGTGGAATATGGGACTGACATCCACATGTACTGACTTCCACAATTCAATCGCAAGCTCACCTCTTTCTTCTCTCACGTCAAGGAATGGACATACCTGCATTTTCTTAACTAATAACGCGCGCTGGCCTTGTAAGCAGCTAAGCACTAGCAAAACCCTTATAATCAATCACTTCAGAGAGTGAGTAGAGAGTAGTTAACGCTTGTATAGTTCACTCTGACAATAATAGAGATCGTGCTAATATCATATCAGGCAGTAGCTTGACTAGCTCTTGCTTTTCACGTAAGTGACGCTCCTGGAAGAGGGTTGACTCACTTCAACTTCATTAATTTGGGGCACGGCTGATTGAACAGCACTTCTGTGTAGTTCCCCAATGCCCTGTCACAAGCAGCATCCTGTGCTACTAATCTATCGTTATTAACTTCACGCTTAGAGACCTCCGAAAGCGTCGACACTGTTGGGACCGTACCGTGCACTCGTTTTACCATTTAAGGACTTGTTCGTCCTTCACAGTCGACATCGCGTTCTTCACTCTCTTGCACTGATTCATACCCGGACAAAATACTTTCTTCGTTTACGGTGCCGTCAGAGAGCACTTCGGTTGTGAGAGCTTTACTCATCATTTGTGGCATCATAGCTTCTTCAAGTCTCTGCATTCATATGGGGTCAGATTACTGCGATGAGGCTCATTCATCGCGTTCCTATAAATTCGTTGAATTCCAAGCTCGAGGTTCGCTGTTACAGAGCCGATTTCACGCGGAGACGGTGGTCCTCTTATAAACTTTTCTTCGAATAGCATCGAGGACATTAAAGTCGAGTGCATCGGTCCACGATGTGCTCTGCAGCGTAACTGATAAGCAAACTGATGTACTCCACAAGGCGTAGCGCCAAATACTCGGATATTTACCCTTGGTTTTATTGCGAATGATGGTCCCACATTGAGGACTGCGGCCATATCGACTTGTCCCAATAAACACATGGCGTGTTGACTGGACAGCGTTCGCCGTGATGCATGACTGTTGACGCGATATCAAAAGATTTAGTTTCTTTGGAAGTGGTTTTTTATCTTCACGTAAACAGCAAGATATAATCTGGTTTGTTGATGGCATTTCCTGCCAGACTCTCATTCAAAGTTGTGAAGGAAGTTGAACGAAATCCTTTACGAAAAAAACTGTACCGCGTGTGCAGAGTGATTTCTGAGTGGACAACAGGTTTTTCAAGCAAAAACAAGGCATTGCAGCGGCTCGCATAGCACCTATGTTAGCAGTCATCTTCTTGAACCACTTCGAAAGGTCACTAACTAGTGGAATCTTGTTCTACAAAGGTTATACATATTGATGACATTCTCATGAACCATGAAAAATGAAAAAAGACTTTGTGGAAACATTGAAGAGACTCAACTCTCACGATGCTAACATAATCTTTACGAGAGAAGATCCATGGAGGGATGGATTTTCACCATTGCAGGTCAAATCGAAATGGCAGCTTCATCTCAAGGTGATGCCGAGCCACTAAGTTAATTTGTGACGATTCTTCGTAGGTTTTATTTCAGGTTGCATTCAACTGATTCGAAGAGTGATCAGATCAGATCGGTAAATCGACAAAAGAGTTGCATGCTTATCAAGGCATAAACTACTGTATATCGCCTATCTTGTCGAGCCGCTGCTTGCTGTTTTGTGTAGTTTTAGAGGTGTAGCGATGAGCGCATTTTATCGATCGGTCAATTCAGCTTCTAATGTAACCGCAACTCAACGCATCTCAATTGAGAACTGTAAACATGCAACCTTTCGTCGAATCTAATTCTTGAAATCCGGGGAAACTCGGAAGAGGATAATGTGAAGGAGCACGTGCCACCCTTTCTCTTGTTTGGAGTCATTGTAGAGCGGTTTATGAGGTCCACAGTTGCTCGTTCCAGTAGAGGATTGAGCCGAGTAACTCTGGACACCGAGTAAGAGTACTAGACCCCAGTGACGCTTTCTCCTAATCGCGTGTTGTGCCATGCTGAAAACTTTCAGAACCGCTTCAATTGACCATCAACAAGCATAGTTCATCCTAAGTAACATCAGGAACGGTCTGGAGAAATAATGTTCTGTACTTTGTCAACTTTAAGAGTCAGTCCCGTGGATCACTATTGTCTTTAAAGGAACAAGCTAAATCGATCTGATGAGTTGGTCTCGTTACTGTTTTCGAAACATGTGCAAGGAGTTCAGAGGAGAAGTCAGAGTCGAGCGCCATACACCCATGAAAAACCCCGCTCCCTTGGCAATTGAATTCTACCTCTCCATCTTCTTCAGCATTTGAAGAGATCTATCAACAATTTGCAATAGTAGATTGCTCACAAATGCATTTATCTCGCGATAGCGCGATAGATCGAAAAAACATGGCATATAGTACAGCCTAATGACAGGAATCTGTTGCATTTTTTTGGACCTGCTGACATTCAAATGTGATTTGTGGTCTTTCATTCTCGATTATCGCTGATATTAGTGTCTTGCGTCCCATCAAACGTCGCGAAAACATCATTGGTTTGTACAACGCACGGTCACCAGCGATTTCGATGTGGAGCTCAGCCTTCATTTCCTCGGAACGAATCGAAGATTTTTTTCTTCATAAACGTCATAAGCTTCTTTGGGAACTCGACGTTTTGTTTGACTATACTATAGTTGTTCTTTTTTATATCATTTGAATATGAATAAGAATAATGGGGAGAAACGGTAACGCATCAATTGGTTCTATGGCTCGGCATTGATTTCCATTCAAATCCACTATTCCGCTAACTAGTGAGTCATTGGGTTTTAACGGCATGCGGCTTTGAAGGTCTATGCTATGCTTCCAATTTTCTCTCCGACGGTATCCTTGTTGCCTAATTCCCATCTGCTTTACTCTCCGTTCCCATCTGCTCTACCTTATTTCCCCTGCCTAAGCTGTTTTTTGACTCGACAACATTCTCGGAGAACACAAAATCATCCTAAGGGGAAATCCCAAACCATTTTTGTCGCCAACTTGAGGAAAATCCCCAAACTCCACATCCTATGTATTGATGACGAATTGGAATTCGAAACAATATTGGTATAGATATGGTTTCTCTTATTTCGTCGCATTTCTTCCTACCTCATGCGCATAAGCTACATTTGTTATTTCTATTTATTTATAAGCTATTGTTGCAATTAGGCAGGAATCAATGGTATGCGCTGATGACTTTGGCGCTTTAACTTCGCCTAGACAATGGCCAGGAGTGGAAAATTTGGCAAGTTCATTTTTAAGCGTTCTCCTTTGAATCTTCTCTTTTTGGGCCTTAGTAGATATGTAATTGAAAATCTTAAGATTGACTTTACGAAGGAAGGTGGAGATGTCAAGGCTCCTCAGCTGCGGAAACTTGTGGCGGAAAGCTTTGTTGCTGTGTTTATGTAAGTGCTTCGTTTCCGTTTTCCGATTATTTGAGGGGTCACTGTTTGCGCCGCTCTGCGTGGATATTGATAGGAAAAGCCCGGAGGAAGATGAACTAAATGAAGATGAAGATCAACTGAATTCAAGTTCTCATGCAGAATATCCGAAAAGCGCTGCTCTGGACCAGGGAAGGTTTCATATTCCGATGGACTTTAGAATAGTGGCCTAAGTACAGTACTCGCCGTAAGAACTCGAAAATTCACGCGAATACCGCGAACTCGCGTCTTTCTCGTCTTTTCCCCATATATCGCTTCAGAATGAAGTAATCGAGAAGCCAACAAGACCGTTGCGCTCACCTCGTCGAGCTCTATAGAATGTTACCCTAAAGTGTTTAAACTGCTCCATTTTGGATTGCGCTATGACTTGAATTTTATCCGAAAAGTAATTGCATGTGCATGGTGTGCGCAATTAGTGCTTGTAGAGGCTGGATGGTCTTTCAAGATGATGTGTTCAGAATTCGCTCTGGATTGCACCACGTACTCGACTTCACTCGGTACAATGTGAAAATAAGTGATTGGTTTTGTTCAGTTCCTTTTTTGGGTTGGAGGTTATAGATGACTGCATCTATGGTCTCCGCACTCAGTACTCCTCCTCACAGGTTCCATTGAGAATTTGACATCAATTTAAGGCAAAATATCGGAGTCGGTTTTTTTGGCATTTTCCGAAATTTAGAGGGTTTTTTCTTCCAGGTCTGAAGAGGTGGCATTGAGGCGCTGTATTGGCGTAGACAACTCTTTGTTCTCTGCGAGACTGTTATGGTGCACCTTATCATAGATAAAAATGTCTCCCTTCGTATGGCCCCAAACTTCGAACTTCGTCAGACCCAAATCAAAAAACTATGTCTTTTCCCTTTTTCTTGGCCTTTTTGCAGCAAAGTTGTACACATTTGGACTCCCTGTGAAAAATGCCATCGAATGACATTTCGGTCAACCCGTAATGGAGTCCTCCCTTCATAACCATTTTCTCCCCTATACCTGGCGAGGGGCAGTTACCTGCTGAGCGTGTTTGGATGCGCATAGGACCGGGTACTGTAGTGTCGCGGGGTTTGAATGGCGGATTTGAAGATTTTGCTTCGCAGGCAGCGGGCTCTCTGGTTGCGGGAGCTGAGGGCGGTTTCGAGTATTGTGCAGTTTCTCTGAAAGGCTCAAAGGCATTTCTCTGCGAACCAGTGCTGAAACGCCCTCGAAGGAGTCCACTATTCCACGGCGAAACCCCGAATTGGCATCGACGAATAACGAAACAAGAAATTATTGGGGAGACACCATGTCAAGCTGTCTTTATCCACCGTTATCATACGACAGATTGGAGAATTGTTGTGCCTTCAAGATGCTAGGATTCATTTTCATTACTCTCAAATTCATGCAACATACTGCTTCTATAGAACCAAACGCCTTATTGCCGACGATAAAAAGGCGTTTCGCATCATTCATCCAGGGGTCTGAAGCGGACGCAATCCCATTGATCCCATCTCATAAGATAAATTAAATTAGCCTCAGATGAAGGCGTGGACTACAACATCAACTGCAGCGAAATGTAAAAAATAAAATTTCCACGTATCAGACGGATCTGGTATCAACTAGGCGAGAGATGCGACGGAAGACCTGGCTGGCCTTTGCGAGTATCTATTCGGGCTACAATCCCGTACCAAGCGTATTTGATAGGACGCTAGTTGCCACTGCACTATCTCCGCCCTTGCTTTTGAAGAACAAAAAAGATAATTCTCCCATTCCACGTCTGAAGTTGAAGCCGTCTTCAGTCACTTCGAGTACTCTTAGATTTCGGAGCACAGGTTTCGCTAAGATACTCCTCCCTCATCATTTGCTAATCGTGCCTCTCAAGCATACAGTAGGCCGGAAAACTTATATCTATTCCCTGAGAGACTCCATACAATCCCGATAATGTATTTCTTTCTGTAAAAAACCTTAAGAGCCCTAATCTCGATATCGAGGAAGGAAATAGTTATTCAAAAAAGTGTCGAATTAAAGAATGAATTACGAATAGTGTGGTTTGCAAAAAACGGCTGATTCAGCACGCCGGTTCTGGTAGGGCTTGTACCGAGTAATTCAGTGTTGCAACCTCACATAGACAAATCGATACTTCAACAGAGCAAGATCGAAATTTTTTCAACCAAGAACGTGTCTTCGCCACCCTGTCCTGATGCCCATTACGAGTTGCATTCGTCTTCGGTCCCAAACAATAAATAGTGCATGTCAACTAATAGGTGGCTTCACTCGAGGGTGAAAGTAAGTAACAATAACCAGGCACAGACACGTTTCAATGAAGGAGCTAAAGGCAAAACTGGAAATTATAGTCGGCGGGTTTGTAGTAGCGTTTCAAATACTGCTGATATGAAGTAAGAGGAACTCATGTACGACGGATTCATTTTGACATTATTGCGGGAGAAAATATTATTCAGTCTGATTTGAAGAAAGCTCCTTTGCGAGTTATGCAACAGTAAAAGAAGTGTCCATACCGAAGCATAACTCATTTATTCATATTCCGATGAAATGCAAATCAAATGCAACTTCTACTACATGCCATGCGGCGAAAACGTCCGCGACTACGAAATTCGTAGGCGTATACAGGTCTGAGCAAGCTATTATATATTGAAACGTAAGCCACCTAGGTACAGAAAGAATCTGGACCAAATTTAATGTACCATATCAAACAATGTCATGGCGAGGACATATGATAATGCTCAGAAAATACTTTCTTTTCTCTAGCTTACAATGCAAGAATTGTGAAACACTGTGAATTTACACTCGAAAACTTTCTTCACTCGGCACGATTAAATTCCACTGCACTCCTACTTAAATTCACTAACACAGCCTGCAAGTTGTTGGTCGAGACAGAAAAAGAGTAATAAGTAGGAAAGTCGACATTTGGGCTTCAACAGCTCCCAGCTGTCTCATTGGGATTGAGCATTCAGTTATACGAATCAATACATAATTTGACATTGAAGGCACAATTCATGATAATTTTGGGTAATTCAGATTATGAGGAAAAATTGAAGATGAGATGGAAAATAAAGCGATGAAGGCGAAGAAACTGCGTGAATCGGTGTTCCCAAATTGAAAGAGGCTTTGAAAAACGGTAAAAAGGGGCCTGGACGCGAATGAGACCAGAAAAATGAAGACGAATGGGGCGTTTGAACGAGACAAGCAGTGTGTTTCACTGCGCGCGTGTGGGTCCTGGTGCGAATAACAGACAATGGTAAGCAAAAATTCATTCACATATAAGCATAAGTAAACAAAAAGCCCTAGTAACAGCAAAAATAGCTCACCTTTTTCACCCCCTAGGAGTAGGAAATTAAGTAAGGGATCACGGCAGCAAAAAGAATAAAATAGNGGTACGAATAACAGATTATGGTAAGCAAAAATTCATTCACATATAAGCATAAGTAAACAAAAAGCCCTAGTAACAGCAAAAATAGCTCACCTTTTTCACCCCCTAGGAGTAGGAAATTAAGTAAGGGATCACGGCAGCAAAAAGAATAAAATAGGGAGAAAGAATGGGTGAAAAACGTCGCCTCATCACTCGGTGGTCGGCCTAATGTGTGTGGGTCCAAAAGCGAATATTGCAATGTGGTTCACCTCGAGACTCGTCTGACGCCATATTGATCGAGCGGGGGAAGTGCGAGCGATCAGGGCTCACACTATGCCCTAAACTTTGGGACTTGACAGTGTCTTTCCTGTTACCCTTGGAGGCCGCTGGGTATATCTAGGGGGTAACTCAGAAACAATTCTTGTCGTGAATTGTCCCTTCAAGAATACAAAACTGTCACTTGGACTTTCTAAGATTCATTCACTGGAAAGTTATTGGAGTTGAAAAGAAAACCGGCCAGCCATAACAATTTGGAAGAACTTCTCAGACGCAATTTTTCTGAAATTTATACCCTAAAATTCCATAGATAAGAGCGGGTGAACCTACCGGTGAAAAATGATTTGGAAAAAATCGAAATTGAATGCAGTCACCCCTCTAACTTGATGGATGGATAAATTAAACTTCGAAGAAGAAGTTAAGAAGAAGCTCCGCCCCTTAACTCCAAACCCCGCCCACTTAATAAACAATTCATGTAGAAAAACAGCGATCCGTAAAAATCGCTGTTTTTCTACATGAAATGTTTATTAAGTGGGCGGGGTTTAGAGTTGTGGGGCGGAGCTTCTTCTTAACTTCTTTTTCGAAGTTTAATTTATCCATCCATCAAGTTAGAGGGGTGACTGCATTCAATTTCGATTTTTTCCAAATCATTTTTCACCGGTAGGTTCACCCGCTCTTATCTATGGAATTTTAGGGTAGTTAAGATAGGTTTATACGTTATAATGCCGAATTTGTAACTGCTGACTTACTATTGAACTATTCTCATACAGATCCATCTATTTATTAGGTATTCATACAATTTCATTAATGCCTTTCATTTCCAATTGAATTTCTGACTAGTTCATTAGTTTCATTACATCTGTCATATAACTCTGAGCTATACTCTGAGCTTCAATTATTTATGTATTTAAATTGTATTCTGAAATAGTTGTTACGAAAGTGACCAAGTATAATGCTCTGCGAACCGAATTTTTGTCTGCTTAAGAGAATGGTTATCCACCATCGTAAAATGAAAAATTTTGTGTAGTTTTAGATCTATTTTACTTTTTTTTAGTTTTTTTATTTTAGTTTTAGAGCATTGAATGTGAGAAATTTGTCACCTATCCGGTTCTAACACGATAGAGAACCTGTATAGAATAAATTTCGCAACCGATCGCATTCTGGTTTAAGTAAGGGTAGGAGGTGTGCTGATTTCTCCCGCGAGAATCTAGAATGCTAAATAATCGGTGTTATCATGCAGCTCAAGTATTTTTACTATCATGAAACAGGAGGCCTACCCACATCCACTTTTAGGATTCTTATTAAGTACGTGCGAGTAAGGGAGAATGAGTATTTAGCTGAGCACAGATGGAAATTCTTT